AATAGCACTTTACCCCTACCTATATGCCGTGAGCTGATTATGGAGCCTTCATTGTAACAGTAATTCAGATGCAATTAGCCTATATAAAAAGGCCTCAAATTGGAAGCACTGTCTGGGCCGTCTTTTTCACTCAATTCTGCAATAGGTACATCTCGCCTTTCACCTAGGCCGAAGTCGGTGATCTTGGGCTTAAAAAGGTTGGTGACCACTGGCCTAGAGCTTGAATGCATCATAATGTCAATCTCAATGGACCCTCACTCCAGCTTTGTTAATGTTAGCTGTTAGCTCTGTTATTTAGCCAAGCAGAGTATCTAATATGAAACAGAAAGACAAGCCAACATGAAAAATGTTTCTAAAAATGCCATAAATAGTGACCGACAGCTTACTTCAACAAGAGGGAGCACGTTTTCATATCACATGGAGCGTGTGTTTGTTAGCCGACATGAACTGAACTACATGTTCAAAGCCAAAGGCTGTTTGAACTGCGCAAACACAATCAGGTATAAAAACAACCAGTTTCTCTATATTGGTACATTTAAAAATCCTCTTCCTCTTCACAGGCAGATGGCTCAGGACATTTGTGTCTGGATGACTGCTCATTGGTGTAAGAAGGACACTTTCACAGTTTCCTGGATACCACGTAAAGATTACGTTGCGATTTTGAAAAGTCTTTATGCTCTGAAGGCGTTTTAGTTTGGTTAAAACACAATTCCATAATTCAATTAACAGCACTGACTTACAATATTAGACATTAGAGTCTTAATTCCTGAAGATCCACAGATCAGTTGTCCGGATGAGGGTCATTCGCCACTAGATATAAATCCTGAACAGTAGTTGTTTTTTTAGGAAACTTATGTGATCGGAAAATGTGAAATGGAGATGTCCTGAACTCAATGTTAAAGATACATATAAATCTGGCTGTAAAATTCAATTATCTGACTGGAGAACATATCCTAAGCAGGGTCATATCAGTGACCCAACACGTTTCCATAAGCAGTGCCAAATATGTCTTTCAGTTTCTGTTTCACATCAGTCATTTGTCATATGTTTTAATCCTATCCACATCCACCCACTTAAACCAATCCCATAAGTAGTCAGAGAATTGGCAGTGAGCCAAGGACTGTACAACACAAGGCCTTAATAAGGTAATAACAAGTAGCAGTGTCAGTTATACCAGACAACAGCTTCAATGGTTTGACTCATTCATTTACTGCTAGCCTAAAGCTTCTCATTTTGTTCCATTTGAAAATAGAGAAATCACAGTAGAGCTGGGATTGTCAATGCACTGAACGGAATGTGAGTCATGACTAGCTTTTTGTTTCAGAAGTTTATCTTGTGAGTCATCATCATTAATGTGTAATCCACACGAGGTCACCATCACGTGCATCAACAAGCATTATTATGCTGCTGCTGACCACAAAAATATGAATCAAAGACTAAAATATCGGGTAAGTTACCAAGGACACGACGTCCTGAGCATCTGAACATGTGCACAGATTCAGATGCCTCAATTCGGTTTCATGTAAGGACACTAACTTTCTTACCCTGGCCATTTAATTGTTCTACTGCACTTACAAAGCTGTAATATGTAACCTAGGCTTCTCCCTTGGGTTTCTGCTGTATTTTACAGTTATCAAGCTAATTCTTAATGGCTTCAGTTCCCTAAATACTATTGTTGTCCTCGTCAATAAGTTGTAGTTCATAGTAAAATGAAAGATTTTTTTTTGTTGTCATGTGAAAACACATCTGCTTGACTAATAACAAGTGATACAACTTGACAACCCTAAAAGCCCCCAGGACTTGAATTTGGCATCCCTAGAAATTTGCAAATGTACTTCAGGAACTCGTTTTAGAGTTTGGGGTTACTACACATTGTGCAACGTTTCACAATGTTCTGAAATGGGAAAGGGCTTTGGGAGAAGGCTCCTGACGGGAGTGAGGTTATGCAAAAGCCGTTTTGGGAGCGTTAGCAGAGCATATCCATCACCACAGTCCATATCTTAGTGATGACACCGCCCTAAAAATGTACTTGTACAGCCTCCTTTCTGGGTCAGTAAATATCCTAGTCATTTTGGCAACACTGAGCTGGCTCATAAAAACTGCCTAGTTTTAAAAAGGGAAACACATTGACTGCAGCAATAACTTTACAGAGAGCCAGTTGGCTGAAAGTGTACAACTCCCAATGTGAAGTAGATGAGAACAAGAACACTAGATATTTAATGCACAAAATAAGGAATATTGAACAATGTGGCAATTTAAAAAACAGACTAACAAACAGACTCAAAGACAGCTTCGTCCCCAGAGCAATCATGGCATTGAACTCTTGCACTATTAACGCTTAGTCTTCCTCCCTGTGCAATAACCCATATACAGGACTGTCTCAGAAAATTAAGAATATTGTGATAAAGTTGATTATTTCCTGCACTTTATTTTATGTATGAAGGAATGCTGTGTGTCTTTGTTGTATGTTGTCTATTATGAATGTTTTGATGGCACCATAAAATGAGTAGCTTTACTCTTCTCGTTGTACTTGTATACTGACAATAAATACTTCTATATTCCAAAAAATTTAACAAAACAGAATTGGATAAAAAATTACTCAAGAATTCACCTTGATATATATATTTCACTTTTTTTTATAGGAGGAGCCAGGATTTCTGTTGTATATTTATAAATGTTTTTATATTGTTTATTTTGGCATTGGTCTTTGATTATAATATTATGACTTATTATTTTGTAATCAATTATGGGTTGGATTAGTTGGGTCACATGGGTATGGGCTGCACTTATAGTAAATATAATCACCTGTTCACCTGTGTGAGACAGACAAGAGAGGGTCGCTGTACTTTTCATAGCTGGATTATTCGGAAAATATATGTATCCGCAAGTTATAATAAGTTGATTTAAAGTAAGATTTTGTTCTACGCATTTTTGGTTCTCAGCATTCATTTTTGATAGCATGTCTGAATAGGCAACCAGGCCTGACCTCTGCCTCTCAGCGACTTTGTTTGTTCCTGAAGTCACTACAACATGGAAAGCTGACAGTAATGGGCTTCGAGCTGAGAACAAGTTTTATTGTTGTGTCATGGGAGAGTGCACCTCACTGTTCAACCATACAGCTCTGCAAATACCATGAAAACATGTGTTGCTGTATTAATAGATACATATGATAATATGGTAAAAAGTCTGTGTATTTTGTAGATATAATGTATATTCTAAAAAGTGTTGCTCTTAATATTTGTAATTGTTTATTCCATAGAAATAGCTTTGAGCTTAATAATTATCTTGATCCTTCCACTTGACTGTTAATCTGTAAATACAAAGGGCAAATGCAGTTAGGACAAAAATAACTGATTAATAGTGAGTCATGACCACAAAGACTAGGAAAAGAGTACAGTTTGGAAACAGGGTAGTGACTTACAAAGCAAGAGGGCTTAGGAATTATGCCTACAGTACTTCTCCAGACAATAAAAATAACAAAATATGTCAGGGAATGATAAGAACTGCAAATATGCACAAATGGTTTGCATGCAATTTGCTACATGGAAACAACTTAGAATTGAGAAATGTTAACATACATGTATTAATGTGTTTTTTATGCATTACTGTCACATGAAGCAGTTAGAGCCACTCAGTTGTTCCACTTTCAAACAACCCATGCTGTTCAGTACAGATGCAGATACCGTCAGTTTGGAGCCCGCCAGCTGCCACTTGACTGACAGTAGTTCACAGCATAAATAACCAAAAGCTACCAAACCGGTTCACACAGCCAGCCAGCAGTCATTATAAACAGTAAACAAAGCTAAATAAATGTATATTCTTAAGAGGGGTTGAGTCGCAATAAATGTAATTTTAAGGTCACGGTTTACATGTGAAGGTCGTTGTTGTATTGTTGTATTGTTGAATACAGTGTACACATGTGTGTTTTCAAGAATGTACTAGAATGTGGATTTTCTTATCCCCCACTTCATCTCTGACTGTAACGGAGCTAATGCTGTTTCACTTTCAAAACCTGTCGCACAGTGCATCGTGTTACCTTCACAGGGACAGATAACTAACCCAACGTTAAAGAAAAGCCGGCATTCAAGTCTCACATGGCTCGAAAGCTGCTGATGTGAGGCCGTTACAGTTAGCTGGCTATAATATATTATACATACACGTGTGAAGGTTTTTTTTGTCTTGCTTTGTATGAGCTCAACGCCTATATCTTAGATTTTAGTAAGCACGTTTTTGGGCGCTAATTAAATGGTTTTTAATACAGCGTTTGTGACTTAGCGTTAACATCCGCTCGAGCCTTTCTGCGTCATGAAACGCTACCATGGTGTCAAGACAGTTTATTCAGCAAAGAAGTACTATAACCTACTTGTCAATGGATGCTTCTTTGCTGACACCATTCTTCTTTAGCTGTTCGTCCGGTTCTACGGCACCTTCGGTTTTCGTGCAGTATGAGCGGAATGGGGCGGCGCAGGGCGCGGTGCGGAGCCCAGGGCGGTGCGGAGTGGCATGGAGGACCTTCAGTCGAAGAGAAGCATCAACGGAGGAGCAGCGGGTCGGTAACCAGCTCTTCTGTCTGGAGCCGGACAGGGGACGCTTGAGGATGACTTCAAATAACTCCTTCAGCACTGTCGAACACCTAAAATGTAACATTTCAATCCTGTCAGACAATTAGAGAGAAAGTCGTGGTTCCTAATGTATATCCGGTAGCAACTGAGTAGTCGTTGAGAAATGTCTCCAACCACGCTGACTGTCTGAGGGGCGATGACTCAGAAACACCGGCGTCCAAAAATAAATACAAGGACACGTTCACGCCCCCTCGGCTCCTATTGGTTGAAATGACACGATGTCTACGCCCTGAGAGTGGAGTGTCCTCGTGTCTATCAATTTCTCTTTTTTTACAGTAGGGTGATTGAATCGCTTTGCACATTTCCCTCTGATTATAAACGTCATGGAATGTTTAAGGGAATTATTGATGTGCTCCCCTTATTCAAGCAACACATGGTAGGATTCTTATTTTTTTCACCTTAGATATTAAGGTTAAACAGCACTGTGGCTCACTCTGGCATCTTGTTTTACTTAGGTGAGAGGGCACATATCAAACTGACTGTTGTAGCTGGAAGAAAATAGTTATAGTCTTTCTTAAAAGTTAAGATAATGTGCACTTCGTATTTAATGCAGGTATGTCCCCTGTTGTTGTCTGTGACCTGAGGACCCCTTGTGTGGTCCAATGGTGTCATGTCGACTCACCTCTATAGATTGGCAGATAATTGCGATTTGTGGGGGCTGAATTATGGTGCATCCAGAGTAAGATAAGTATGACAAAAATAAATACAGACCCGTAGAATAGATGGTGATCTCTGTAATTCACTTGCATTGCTCATCCTGCATTCTCCTTAGACAAGCTCCCCAAAACGTGCAGCATTAGACGTAGTCGGTCTCCTGCAGCTTCTTCGATTGAAGTCGCTCTGCTCACAGATATGTCCTTTTAAGGTGGTAAAAAAATAAATAAAAATAAATGTCAAATGGGCCAACGTCAAATACAAAGTAAGATTGTATAGATTCCATATACAGATGAAAGTATTAAAATAGAAAATACTATCAGACATAACTTTATTAAACAGACAGATCACATATATATTAAATTGTCTTCTCAGTTCAATTTGTATATTTTATAACAAAATCTTTTTTTTCTTTACTTTTTTATCATAATATTGTTACGATATTTGATCATCGCAAAGGTATTGCCAAATACTGAATGTTACAAGTAAGAGTTAATGAATTATTCATTTCCCTTCCTAGTGATTACTATTCATCTTTTGTTGCATTAAACAATAATATAACTGCATGGGAATAATATTGAGAGGCTTGTGTTTTATGGCCCTCAGTACAGTCTTTAAGGCAGTACACTCAGGTTTACACCATGGTTTACACTCAGGTGGTGTAACTCCCCCACTGCCCCAGCCAGCCTCTCCAATGAGCGAAAGCCAAAGGAGGGTCCGGCCATACAGACCGTGGTCCCAGCATTGGGCGTGGGCCAGTTACAGTGAATAAGGCGGGATTTAACGAGCCAGGAAGCAGAAATCCCTGATAGTTAAAGTTCAGGGCAGAAAACTCCCATAAAGTGTGCAGCAGCTCTCCACGTCCCACTTTTTGTTCAAGCGTCACTTTCACAAGTTGCCACGAATACACAGACAGCGGCATGATGTGGAGGTTAGTAAGCTGCACACTGTGCCTCTTGGTCTCTGCTCAGCTATCTCTATTGTGTGTGTGGGCCTCAGCAGCCGAGCTGGATGGAGAAGTGAAGATAGAAGTAGTGTACAAACCCGACGAGTGCACTCAGAAGAGCAAAAGAGGAGATCTGATAAACGTCCACTACGATGGCTTCCTTGCCAAAGATGGTTCTCAGTTCTACTGCAGGTTGGTGGTTTGAGGAAAACTTTACAGTTGATAGATATTGTCTGTACAAGCCTATTGGATGCTTTGAAAGTCAATATGCACATAAACAGGCACTTTATTACTGTATTATAGATAATTATACATTGTGTAGCTTCAAATTGTCTAAAAGGGGGTGGTGATTGCTCCATACAGGTTTCACATCGCATGCACTATTCTAGATCTATTGTATGTGTGTTGTAAAATGGTATGCCATTTATTTCATTGTTAATTGTGTAGTCCTGCTTTAAGGCCTTAAGCAGTCATCACCTGGAGTGTTAGGGACAGTATGACAAATATTAGGGCAGGGAGGGGGCTTAATCTTACTTATTTACAACAACAAAAAATGTCATGGTCAGGTCCCAAACCTATATGAAAATCTGTTCATGTGCGTTCAGATCTGTTCATGCACATTGGATTGATGTGAAGGCTAATTGATTGAAAGGATGTTGTTTCTTTTCATACTCTTTCTCCTTTAGTCGGTCAGACAAAACCGGGCACCCCCAGTGGTTCGTCCTGGGTGTGGGACAGGTCATTAAGGGCCTGGACCTAGGGATGGAAGATATGTGTCCTGGAGAGAAACGAAAAATAACTGTCCCACCCGGCCTGGCCTTTGGAGAGAAAGGCAAAGGTGAGTGAATGCAGCACACAGTGATTAAACCAAGGATCAGCAGAGGGTTTGTATTAACCACTGCTAAACCGTAGATGTACTCAAAATGTCATAAAAATACAGTACATATGCAGGTTTTTTTAGTCCCTAGTAAAGTTCAGAATCTTAACCTGTTAAGCCCTGAGCCTGTTTTTTGGGTCTCAAGCTCGAAAATTACATTCCCAGAACAAATGACCATATCTGTCACGGTTTGTGAAACAAGCAGGACCCAAATGCAGATACAAACTGAAAATTCCTTTATTTCAAGGCTATGATATTTCTATGCAATGACAAACAGAACACTCACCGCAGAACTAGTCAGGGAACAAGACGAACCGACCAAGACAGACAGAAAACCCAGAACTTAAATACACACAAGACTCAATCACACAACAAGACACAGGTGAGGAGGGAGGAGAAAACACAGGGGCCCAGGTGAACATAATCAGACCATTAGACACACCAGGGAAACTAATGACAAGAGGAAAACACAGGGAAAGGACCAGACAATAACCCAAAGGAAAACATGACATGGAAAACAGCAAAAACACCCAAACCTACAAAACTATAAACGTGACATAACATGAGAATCGTGACAATATCTTCCCTTCTAAAAGGGTTAAATTAATAATCTTTTTTCTCAAAGTATTGATAAACCTGTGAGTTGGATGTAGAAGTGTCAGAATCAAGAAAGATATTTCTGTGTCAGAGTAAATTCAGATGGAACATAGTAAAAAAAAAGGTAAATTCTTAACTCCGCCTAAAGTAAAAACATTACTTATAGTGAAAACCAC